AGTTATTAAAAGAATATTAATACCTTATTAATTAATAATAACATAAAGTTAATTAATTTATAACATCTATATACCTAATAAATAAGTAACTTTGGGGACACGTGTACTTAGTTAATTAATTAATAATAATGTGACTTTAATTAATTTATATAATTATTAAAAGAATATTAATACCTTATTAATTAATAATAATATAAAGTTAATTAATTTGTATACACACACATCTATAATACTAATAAATAAGTAACTATGGGGGCACGTGTCACATTTCTGTGCGACGGTTGTTGATTTTTTTTGCCTAAAACACAATTTTCACTTACGGCCCCCAGACTTACAACATAACTCTGGAAAAATTCACGTCTGAATTTAACTCTGGAGTGGTCATCAAAACCGGGTTTAAAATTTCAAATTCGCATTTTTGAAGCATTTTTCACAAAGCAATATTACCCGGGAAAAAAAAATCGGCTCTGCCCCTTGGACCCCTCCAGGGGTTGCCTCCCCTTGGACCCCGCCACCCGGAGGCGCTGCCCCCGGACCCCTTCTGTTAGAGGCTTCGTCCCTAAATCAAAATAAACTCAAACAAGTGTGCACTCCGCACCTGCCTTACCTGTTCAATATTTATCATGATTACATTGGTCAACAATTTAATCCATTACACTTAAATGACATTAGTAATACAAATCATCAACATGAAATTATCAGATATTGGTTATTTCTCAGACTTACAACATAACTCTGAATTGTTCTGTTCTAAACTTAGTTATATAGTTTATTCCCAAACTTAGAATACAACTCTAAACTCCTCTTCAGAGTTACGTTTATGAGTTATAAGAAATCAAAATTCTTGTGACTCAGAGTTATGCTCGTAGATACTTTCTAGACTTAGAAGACAACTCTGAATTCATCTTATTCAGAGTTAAGTCCAGAGTTATTTTCCAGTCTAACAATAAAATTCCGAATTCTTGTGTTTCAGAGTTAATGTCCAGAGTCTTTCTCATTTAATAAGAGCCAAGGACAATCATTATCAAAAGTTGGTTTATTTCTAAGACAACGGAAAATTTATACAAACTTGTAGCATTGGCTAATTTTAGCAATTAACTCTTGAAAAGAACTTCACACTTGTAGCCAGATTGGTCGTCTTGATTTAGAAGTCTTGCAACGCTAAATATTGTCCATTGTGAACTCTGGAGGATTTCTAACCCTTGTGTTTGTCAAACCTGATTCCGTCCTTCATGCAGAGCTTAACAGAGGTTCTGCACGTGCTATGCGGTCAATCTGAACCAGACTCTGTGTTTCATGCAGAGCTGCACAGAGGTTCTGCATTTAAGTCTTGAGAAAGAGCTCGGTTTCTTCACGTAATGCGTCGAGCTCTGTCTCTTACTCCGAAGATGGCCTTCAGACTTGTAACTCTGAATAGTTTTCGTCTTAATCTCTGGAAACTTTCTTTACGCTTGTGTCCTTGAAGCCTGATTCCGTTCTTCATACAGAGCTTAACAGAGGTTCTACAGGTGCTACGGGGTCATTCTGACCCTGCCTCCGTCCATCACACAGAGCTTCAAAAAGGCTCTGTACTTGTCTTGAGTAAGAGTTCTATCTCTGCATGTTCTACCCAGAGCCTCTGATTCCCTTTGCTTGTCTCATACAGAGGTATACAAAGGCTCTGCATGTACTACGCAGCACTGCATATTGGATCTACATTGTTCGTCTTCATTTAGAAGTTTTTCTGATCATCGAAGCGCATGTCATCCTTTGTATATGTAACATTTAATTCTCGGGTAAAAGCATCTTTATATCAAAAATTTAATCGGACTTGTACTTTTGTCTAAGTTTATAAATTACCTCCGATTATTAATTCTTTATAAAATACATATCAGTTTCGTTTAATTTTTGTCATTAACCCGTGTAATACACGGGTCCAAACCTAGTATATATATATATATATATATATTATCTTGACCGTTAATTTGAATCATAAACGGTTGTGATTTAATGATATTTAAAAATTAATTATTAAATTAATATTTTCAATTAATATATGTGAACAAAATATCAAAGGGTATTTAGGTAAAAAATATTATATCTTTGATACATGAGTTGTTAGACATATGAACAACTTGTGTATATTTTCAAACCACATCAAACAAAAAATATTAGACATGTGAACCGTATGAACATCTTCTGTATATTCATGAGCCAACTCTGCTGTATGTACATGAACACCTATGAACCAAGACATCTAGGGCTGTGTGTTTTCATACGTGTTCACATGTTTTCACATGTTCTGTGTGTGTGTGTGTATTCATATGAACATCTAGTGACTTGAATATACATGAACACTTATGAATCACGACATCTAAGGCTGTGTGATTACTACAGGGATGAACCCAATTCGGAATATGAACCATAAAAGAAAACGCCTACTAATCCGATCACAAGAATACCAACTACAGTACCTATTATCCAAAAAGGAATTCTTCCAGTAATATCGGCCATTTATCCCACTTCCCTTCACATTTCATCAAGTGGTCATGCTAGAGACATAAACAGTCATGGATAATTATGAGAACACTCCCATCATTCATTTCAAATAATTATGGATATTATCATCTTCATTTTATTGATTTTGATAAATAAATTTCATCAAAATGAGAAATAAATGAAACAAGTTAATTATTATATAGAAACAAAAATATATAAAACATTTTCTTGAATTTTTTTTACAAAAAAACAATGAAATCGAAGATTTTCACGGATTGTACAAATAGCTTGGTTTGCATTTTATCCATCCCCTATATTTATATAGGGTTAGGTTCTGTGAGACCAGACTGTTTTCACGAGACCCATGAAACCACATTTTTACACTTGAAACTTCACAGCAAAACATTGTGAAGGTAAAGAAAATCCAAACCTTCACAACAAAAAAAACTTACTTTCATCGTGTTTTGCTATGAAGTTTTAAATGTAAAAAAATGGTGGCATGCGTTTTACAAAAACTGACTAATCTCACGTACTCCCAAGTCTATATATTAAATTTGATTCAAAAATTGTATATGGCAAATAAATAAAGCGAGGTCGTGAATGAACCGAACCAATATAAACAGAGTTGGTTCATTGACCGTCGGTTCGTTTACGACACCAAATATAAATATAATTAAAAATGAGGAAAAATTCAATAAAACCTAATAAAATTTTAGATAAAAAGCTCCTTGAAACAAAGAAACCAAAATATTTATTCCGTGGTCACAAAGAATTCAATGTTCGTTTTCTAATAAATTACTTACTTACAAAATGAGACACATACATACATACATACATATACCTCAAATTCAAAACATCATTAAGCTCGTTGCAACAATCCCCGCCGCACAAGCTACAATCCCCACCACAGCTTTACTTTCTCCGCCACTTGGTGCCGCTCTAGGTGGTGGAGCACCACCACCACCACCACCACCTGCCGGCGGAGACGGTCTCCTAGCTGGAGGTACTGGAGCTTCCGCCACATCATCATCTGTCAGCACAGGGTGAGGAGCCCCAACTGGTGGCATAAATTCAGGTGTCATAAATGTGTACAATTGGCCAGGTGCCGCAGGAACCATGTACTGTGGCGTCTGTTCCGCCGGCAATGCCAAACAAAGGTTCCCTATATCCCACCAAAGTAACACAAAACTTATAAATTATAACACAAATAAACCAGGGAAAGATAGGGTGGTTACTAAGGGGGCTGTTTGGTTGCTTGTCTCTTAAGAGTAATCGAAAGAGGCACGTTCGGGAAAAACTTGGTTTTCTGTATAAAATGCCTCCCTAGAAGCTTACTGAATAAACTAATTTCTATATTATTAAGCCACTATTAATGTATAGTGTCTTGGACTAGGGATGTTCAGATTCTTGTATCTGCTTTTAACCAGCTTTTTCAAAACTTTATCAGACCATGAGTGGGTTCTTTACGAAAACGACCACTTTTCTACTCTTTTTCCTATATGTCTGGTTTGCATACATCTCTTATCCTCTCTCGACCCTATGTGGAATATATTGGGTTCGTTTAGTTCGGTAAACCAGAAGAAAGATCAAGAAACATTTCTTTCACTTTCCAATTCAAAAATCCCATCTTGGATGTGATATATGTGGTGTGTGTTGTATATATATATATATATATATATATATATATATATATATTATATAGTGAAGAGGGTAAAAATGAATGATGAAATAATACTTACTTCTGTATCTAGCAGAAGTAGCTGGATAATCTGTAACAACACCATCGACCTCAGCTCCATTAATGTACGAGTTAATTTCGACATACGGGTCTGAAAAGAAGTCCCATGGCTGTGAAATAAACTCATTGTGGAAGAATTGAACATAAACAGGGAGCTTGGATGCGTGAAGCTTTGCGACAACATCAGTTTGACCTCCAAGAAATCCTGCGCTTTTTGGGAACACCGATTCTTTGCCAATGATAACAGAATTCGCAATCTCCTTGATATCTTCAATGGTCGAGTTTAGAGCATCACGGATATTCTCGTTAACCTCGTAAACAAGCTCATATCTGTTGCTTCTTGCCTTGAAAAGCTTCAGAACTGAACTATCTGGAGACTGAATCAAGATTTTCTTGCGCCTATTGTTATTATAACTAGATCTATTCAGCACATCCATCACAGCATCTGTCACGCTTAATCCTTGATTAGTTGCCAAATAAGCTGCATTCTGCAAAATTAACAACAAAAATGACTACAGGTTTTGCCATCCATACAATATGGAAAACTATGAATCTTGAAGAGCAACAACTCACCTTTATATTGATCAAGACACCGGAAAGAGAAGTAGCATTTCTTGCAGCGTAGTTCAAAAAGTCGGATAACGTCATATACTTGCCATCATTTTGAAATTTCGGATTCCTTATCATACTTGAGTTTCTAGCATATGGGCTGAACATTACAGCTACAACATAGCAGAGAAGCGAAACAAGAAAAAGCAGGGTGATCAGGATCAGACAGAGAGTGTTGATAGAATGACAAAAACACACAAACAAGATGATCCTAAATTGATGGCATATTGGAAAATAATTTGTTCCACGTATTCTCACATGGTATCTGAGCCAAGGTGTAACACTCTAGGGACTCGACACTCCAGGGGAATTTATACTTGTCTAGCCCCCTCTTGACATTTAGGGGCTGTATTAACAGCTTAATGGGACTCCTAGCTTATTCGGTCGGCTATACATGACTGTTTGACAATGGCTTAATGATATAGAATGTGGCTTTTTCAGTAAGTTTCTAGGAGGAAGCTTTATGCAGAAAGCTAAGTTTTTTTCTAAATCTGTTACTCATAATTATAAAACATGTACCTTCCATCTATGAAAAAACCATCCCAAACAAAAATCTTCCTAATCCACATAGACACCTTTATCCATACATAACTTAATGAAAAACCAACCATACAACCCTTAGCCTCCATTGGAGGGGGTGTGTCAAGAGCCCCATATCGGCTAGACATGGACCATGTCTCCTCTATATTTGTTGGAACCTATGTTCTCATCTCAAGGGAGAGTAACATGATGGTGTTCCACATATTCTAAGGGGGCGTTTGTGGAATGGTTTTGAATTTCGTGGAAGGATTTGGACCAGACCTAAGAGTATTGACGACATAAAAGTGGGGAGTAGAGTACTTACGTTCCAAGCCCTGAATATCTGCCCACGTAAGACTGAAGGTAAATATTCCAGTTGCTTGAAGATCAGGAATGTTAATCGTACGGTCAGTAAAATCTGCATTAGCAACTGATGTTCTATCGAGGAGGTTTATAGAACCTAAGCAAATAGGTATCCCATCTTGTGTCATTTGAACAGGACAGTCGATAATATCTGCGCCATCTGAAACAGCTTTCTCATATGCCGAATCAGTACAACCTGGGTAGTCACCGCTAGCTCCTTCGAAAGTGATGATTAAAGGCTTTTCTGAACCAAGAAAACATGGGTATATGAGTTCCAATTGCCATTCAAGAACGTCTAAAAATAGAAACTTGTTCAAAAAGATTTCATCATCTAAAAGAGAATACCTTGTGTTTTGTTTTCCCCTGAGTGAGCAATGCAATCTGCAGGAAGGATTAAAGAGTAATTAGAATCTGGAACACCTGAATATTTCACAATCTATTGGTAGGGGTGTTAAAAAAAACCGTTGAACTGCTCAAACCGGTCGAACAAAGTCAAACCGGACCGTGTTTGGCGGTCCGGTCTGTTATGCGGTTTGAATGTTTTTTTAAGCGGTTTGGACTGAACCGACTGCCAAAAAATACAGATATATTAAATATACTTAGTTTTCAAATTATAGGCTCACGATTAAAAAAACTCGTCCAACACATTATGCTTTTAGTTTTCATTTCTCATTTAACCGCGTCATCTAAATTGGCAAAATTGCGAATTCCGTCAAAAATAAAATCCAAATCATCACTGACTTGCTGAATATTTGTCCAAAATTCCAGCTATTGTTAGTGGATTTGTTTTAACCTTTTTTCAACTTGCTCAATGTTTTTTAGTTATTGCCTAAACTGGTCAGAACAGACCACCTTTTTGTGGTCCGGTTTGACCAGTTTGGTCAATTTGAAAAATTTCCTAAACCACTATTGCGGTTTGGTTTGTGGTTTTGAGGGATGAAAACGCCCAAACTGGACCATGTGTTATACAAGATGAAGAATTGGATGAAGAAACTAACCAAAAGCTATGGATGGAGTTATTGGGTTATCAGAAAGCACACCATCAACAGAAAATCTGCCATTGTCAACAAAAGACAGATACTCCTGAACAGGATCATAACTGTAGTTATATGGAAGTGGCAAATCATTCACGAAACCAGAAGCGAAGACTTCAAGATTCTGCCTATGAGCATCCGGGACCAAGGACGTAGATGGTTGCAAATATGAATCACTACCCACAGGCCATATATACGATTTAGGAACCAAAATCCCAGATGCAAATGTGGCGATAAATGTCAGATTTGTAAGAAGAGAACCATATGTTTGGTTGGTTGAAGGCTCAATCTCATCCTTTTCTAGAAACCGGAAAACTAGTTTCGTTGGCCGTCTGAATCTTGTCACAATGCTTCTAAGGAAGTTCACTTCTGGTGATGAGATATAGTTGATTACAACAGTTCTTGAAATAGAAATCACATAATTTCTCATGCTCAAATTGTGTTGGGTGTAAAATGCATCATGCTGAAAAAGGCAATGAAGGTGAGTAACATAACAACCGGAATTAGTCAAGGGAAACTAATTAAAATAGTCATTTTCAGGATTTTGCATTCCTCTCTTAGCCATTTCTTTCCCAATTTTTCAAAAAATGTCATTACCTCCGCAAGTTGCAACTCCTCAACTTTCGAAGAGGTCAAATTGTAAAAAAAAGAAGTTTCTAAACTAGGTCCGCACCCAAACTTCTTTTTATCTAATTTAGAGATATGGTTGCGGACTTGGTTCAGAAACTCCTTTTTTATATTTAGACCCATCTGTAAAGTGAGGAGGTGCTACTTGCGGAGGTAGTAACGTTTTTAAATTTGGGAAGAGAAATGATATAATCCGAAAATGGCTATTTCTATTAATTTCTATCATTCAACAAACACCTGGTGTGCAACTAATCACCTGGATATTCAACCATAACCCTGGTGGTTTTACTGTCGTAGCAACATATTCAACACTAAGAATTGCGGAAGAGCCATCAAAAGATGGTGATCGAGAATAGATTCCCTGTGTTACTGTTGTGAATGATGCGATTAAAATCGAATCAGCCATAGACATGGTAGATGCTGAGAATTTACAGATAGAGAATATGAAAGATGAACTTACAAGAGACGTTACTTAGGTCAGCAAGTCTGAAATCCACAGGAAACCATCCTTCTGTACGTACTCCATTAACGTTGTAGGTTTTCTTCCCATCGAGATAAATTGTAGCAATGGTGGAAGAATTCTGTAGATTGATATATGGAAAGCATATTCCGAAGCTATCTTTAGTCAATTGAACATCGCACCAGAGGATAACATCGGAGACACTAGTAAGCGTAGCTAATCTGTAGGCATTGGAGCTGGAATCAGGAAACAATCCTGAAAATCCACCACGTGCTACGACGAAAGGAGAATCTCCTGCAAAATTGGTTTAATTTCAGAAAGAATATTCTAGTGAAAACCATGGTGGAAGAAGAAGAAGATACCTGTTAATGTCTGCCATGGAGAAGTAGGTGCCGGAGGCTGAGCAGCGACGGAGATGAAGGAGATTAAGGGTAAGAGGTAGAGGAGGTTCCACATGGGATCGGAGGACGGTGGCTGACTTGACTTTGAGGGCGGAGGAGGGTGGATTGTTTGTTTTATCCGGTGAAGAAGAAAAGAAGGAAATAATTGGTTGCTTTATATAAACAACCAAGATGAAGCTGGTCATGTCCTCACGTTCAAATCAGCCAGCCGTCTTCTATTATATTATTTTTAGTAAAACTACATTTTTGGTCCCTATAGTTTACACCCAACTACGAAAATGCCCCTATACTTTATTAAGTACATTAATATTCACTATGGTTTACATTTGGTTTCTTTAGTTAACTTTGTTGAAAAATGTTTGTTAAATGAAGGACAAAATATGGGTTTGTTTGGGTATTAAGAGCGTTTGTTTTGTCTATAAAATAAGAGCTTAAAAGTTCTAAATGTCCTCTGAAATTTTAAGTGGTAAACATATCTCTTAATCCTAACTCGTTCACTATCAAATGGTTCATATGTGAGGGGCTGGAAGATATTTGTTAGCAAAAACTATTTATCTTTTATACTTTTGTAAAAAAATAATTATCTTTTATATTTTTCACTAGTTTGACCGATTCAGATTTCAGACGTAAAAATAAACAATCTTACTGATCCAGATTTCAGACTTTAGGACCACTTCTTATAAATTAGAAGTGAAATCAGACTTCAGACTTCAACACGTTTTAAAAAACAAATACTACCAGAGGGTTTATGTTTGTAAAAAGAGAGAAAAACAAATAGTAAACTTTAGGTTGAGTCATGTTGTTTTTATTTGAGTAAAAACAAAGTAGATAAGCCAAAAAGGGTAAAAAAAAAGACATAAATGCCCCTCACTTAACTGAACTTTTTTAACAGGGTTACGTTAATTTCTTAGCAATGTTAAGTTAAAAAGGCAAAATGCAAACCACAGTGACCATTACTGTACTTAGTAAAGTCTAGGGACATTATTCATAGTTATGTGTAAAACACAGGGACCAAAATTACAGTTTACTCTTAATATTATTATTTTGTTATTGTGACAATAGTATATTTTTTTGGTTGCCGGCCGTGGACGGTTGTAATCGGTATCAGGTTTATCGGTGCCTTTACTATTGTTTATTTATCAGATAAGATTTTGGTTTACCAAAATGGCATCGTATATAATAATAGATTTTTGGTCTTTGTTTCACTTTTACCAGGTAAGATTCTTGGTACCTACCATATTCATCCGATAAGGTAATGTAACTTAATAAGTGCTTACTGGTAAACGACTCCTCAGTCTTAAGATTATATTTGTTATAATTTAAATAAAAGTTCCTTTGTAGCAATACAACGTAACACATCTCTGCTTTGTCTTGTTCAGTTTAATCTAATTTCATGATCTTATATCTGAACATATTATCATCAATGTTTATCTTTTATTTAAACATATTAATTCTTATAAATTATTTTTATATCATTTAAACATATTATATATAATAATAAATATATATATTATATTATAAAGCATTTGATAAAAATTATTAAAAACCATTTTTTATGCATTGAATATTGTTTATTGATACATATTACTTAAAATTCAAGATTACAAGTAAATTATACGTAAATACAACTTATTAAAACTTCATATTTAAATTCGTGTAACTAACTTTAAATAAATATAACTAAATACAAGATAAACTTCTCATCTTAAAACAAAATCTAAAATATAATTAGGTTAATTATTGAGTTATAACAGAATATTTAGTTATTATTTTTATAAAAAAATATACTATTAAACTAAAAATAAATTATTTTACTATTAAATCTAAATTAAATTTTGAATTAAAGAAATTATATAGAAAAATGGGATTTTTTTTAATTCTTATGATATTTTCAAATTTGTACTTTATTAAAAAAACATTAATGTTTACTCAAAATCACATAAAACATTATTATAACATTGACAGAGACCAAAAAAATTAAAACGAAGCTTTAAAATCGAGACATGTCTCATTGAATTGTGTAAGTACCCTTCTAGTACCATATTATAAAACATTTGACAGAAACTCCTAATTTTTTTTATGCATAAAGTACTGTTTATTGATGATATTATTTAAGCTCAATGTTTGAATTCATATAACTAAATACAGATAAACATGATCAAATAAACGATAAACATCATTTTAAATATAAAAATAACTATCAATTATTTTTTTCGAAATTTTATAATATCTTCAAATTTATATTTCGTTCAAAAACAAAAAATGTTTTCTTTTTTATTAAAAACACATAAAATCGCATTATAACATCGATAGACCCAAAATATAAAACAAAACATTAAAATTAAGATATGTTTGATGTTCGACGGATACCAGTTGGTGAAGGACGTGACATTTTCGACACACGTTTTTGGTGGGCCCAACTTATATGATATATTCCTAAACAAACATTTATTCTAAATTTCGACGACTTTTATTATTATTATTATTATTATTATTATTATTTATTTATTATTAATAGTGCCAGCCAATACTCAGTTTCCCCTTCATTTCCTATTTCACATTACAATCGCAAATCACGATGACTGATTCAAACAAATATACGTATATTTTTAGGCTAATTACGTTACGTATTTTATTTTTATTTTTATTTTAAGTAACATATTTTTAAAACTTTTATTTTGATACCTAAAATGTAAGGTTTTAAACATTTAAGTACTCGGGTAACCGATTGAACACTAATTTTAGATTTAAAAAAATCAATGTCACTAACCGGTTAATGCTTCAAACGATTACTCGGATGCTTAAATATTTAAAATTTTACATCTTAGGTACCAAAATCGAAGTTTTCAGAATACGTTACCCAAAACAGGAATAGAGTTAAAAGTACGTTACTTTTTCATAAAATTTGTCATTTAAATAAAATTTGGTAGTTCGTTAAATATCACATTTTTAGTCCTTGTAGTTTAAAAAATATAAGATTGTCATTGTTGTTTGTAAAAGTGTTGGATTTGGCCCCTCTCTATAACGGATGTTAAAATACCTCGTTAAGCCAGGGGCATTTGACTTTTTCCATTTTTATATCATTTTGATTTACAAAATGTATTGTACATTATAGACCAATTGACCAAGCCCTCTTCCTTCACGAAACCAACCTCCGATGAAGAATCATCAACGATGAATCCTTCACCTGAAATCATTCTCCTCCTGCAACCATCTCGCTGACGTCTCCTAGGCAACGGTGCACTTGCAATCGTCTCCTCCTACAGACGTCCGATGAAGCCCAAACTATAGTCTCCTTTTATCATATATTTTTGAGATTAAAACAAAAATTAGAGAAAAGACGACGACAAATTCAATATCAGAAACACAAATGGATCCATCTGCAGTTCCACTTCCTGATTCAAAAAATGGTACAATGGGGGAGTTATGGGAGAAAACAAGTGAGGTTTTCTTATTCTAATTAAAGTTTGGGATTCGGGATTTGGGTTTCATTTTGATTTTTTTGGTTTAGGATTTGAGTTCGTTAAATAAGTTTTCCATAAAAGGTTTGATTCTGGATTTGATCTGATTGTGTTCTTTATTTTGGTTTTCTATTGAGGTCTAGATATAGATTTTGAATATGCGGTTGGGTTTGGGTTTCATAGTGAGGTGACTGGAAACGTTGACCGAAAGGGTTTCACGTCGGTGAGGTGAGGGAAATTATTGGGATTTACTGAGTGGGACATGTGGCACAAGTTTACTGTATAATATAAAAGGATTTCTATTTTTTTTTATAAATTATGAGATAAAAATCTAAAAAGACTAAAATACCTTTTAATTAACGGCCAAAAGCTAACATCTGTTAAAGTGAGGGACTAAATCCGCACGTTTTTATAAACCACAATGATCATCTTGTATTTCTGAGACTGTAGGGACGAAAAAAGTTATAGCCGACAAACCACAAAAAACCAAATGTGTAGTTTACAATTTTTTTTTCTTACTAAGTATATGCATAAATTTTCGTTACTTAAAATAAATATTTTTGATAAGATTCAAGCGCTTACCACTATGCCAAAAACAATTGTTTATGGAAAAGACACAACTTTTTTCTTTATAGTGTAGCAGTCAGCATCACATTTCGATTTAAGAAAATGTTGGTTAATGACCCAACAATTTTTCATATCTGTCAAAATCAAAACTTACTTTTTACATTTTCAATATATTAATTTTAAATTATTTTATATCTTATATTAATTTAATAAAAAATAAAAAATAAAAGTTATGGTTAATAAAACCTGTGGAAAATTAGAAATAGGTCAACGGGACCATTGTGTTATTTTCTCACATTTAATTCCCCACCAATGAAAACACCTCTTTTACAACAACCAATCGTCAATAATCAATTTTAAAAGGTGGTTTTTTAAAGGTATCAATCAGTAATTAATGAGATTAAAAATAAATAAAAAATTGTGTGCTTACATATGTTAGATTTTGGAAACAGAATACCAAAATACCTGAATAATTCAAGAATTATGCATAAAACACTTTGCAAAATCTATGATTTCGACCCTATAGCCTGGGGTATCACGATCAGATTTTGGATAATCCAAGATCACAAACACAAAATTTCTTGTTTGTTTATGTATCTTAAGAGACAAAAATCCGGCAGAGTAACAGTATGCACCAAGATCGTCACACTGCAATCATCGGATCAAAATCTTATATAGCTAATGGCGGTTAAGTCGGTTATTTTGCCGGTAGACAGATACGACTGTTCGGGTGTTTGAATCCATTTCTTACATACGAATGAATATTCGGGCTGGGGCCTTGCACATGGATCATCGCATACCCGAGATCAACTTAACTTATCTGAGCATGCACTCTGTACCTCTGGGCTCGAATTATAGCTAAGTCTAATTTCGGCTTGTCTCACATTAATCTCGATCATATTAATTGGCTTGATGACACTAAAATCACCAACAATATATAAAACAATAGGCTCATTTCCTTCAGAAGCCTAAATTTTCATTACAGGTTAAATCGGAAAGAATGAAAATTCATTCCCATATTTAAGTGTCAAAAGTGTCAGGATGTCTCAGGTTCAAATACAAGGAGAAATAAAAATCTCTTTGTGGTCACGGAGGTTCAAATGAGTTGATTCCGGGCTACCCGCAAAACAGGTGGTCGCCTTGGGATTAG